CCCCCGAGGTTGGCATCCCTAAGAAGCCTGAGGGAGAGGAACTTGCAGGTAAAAAAACTGTCAAGCACATCAAAGGAGAAACCCTGAGATTGGGTGCAGAAGGTCCAGCTGATCAAGAAAAAACAAGTGGAACTGAACTAAAACCTACCCAAAAACAGAGAAGCAAGAAAAAGAAAACAAAGCAGACTGGTATCCCAGGAGACAGCGCTCCACCGGAGAAATCTTCTGTGGAAAAGCAGTCCCTTTCTTTTCTGATTTCCCAAGAAATTCCAAGGGAGGAGGAGGACTTTGTCTCAAGCACGCCAGAACCAAAACATGAAACCGCCACCAAGATTGCTGCTGGCTTGGCAAGAGACACAGCCGAGCACATGGGGAGCAGCAGGGATGAAAAAGAAGAGAAAACAAGTTCTGAGAAAGATAAAGAAAACCTCGCTGAGGGTCCGGTGTTCCCTGTCCTCCCAGGACACGGGGACGCTCGAGAGGTGATGAAAGGTGGGATCAGAAATGGTCACGATTCCTCGGTGGCATTGAGCGGAGAGGACGACGTGACCCAGGAGAACGGCGAGGTGGAAACCACCAGCGCTGAGTGCGGTGCAGCCCCTGCAGCAGGCGAACTGCCCGATGAATTAATTATCAGCGAGGAACCCAGAGAACTTCAGGAAACCTCTGCAGTCCTTGAGCTTGGAGAAGAGGCACGGCAAGAGCAAGCAGTGGAGATCAGCGCAGGCCAAGGAGGTGGCCCTGTTCCCCCAAAAACCCAAGGAGAAACACCCCAGGAGAGGACCAGGCAGCTGGGTCCTGGCGAGCGGGGCTTGCTCTTACCTGTGATATTGGAGGGGGAGCTGCTGGAAACCTCGAGGGAATCCACGAGACCAGCCCAGGTAAATTAATGCTTTTTGCTATTTCGATGACTTTTTTTTTTTTTTTTTGCCTGAGCTATTTGTGTGCGTTTGCTGTTAAATCTGTCCAAGGCCCTCAGCCCAGAGGAGAGCCAGAACGCGAGGGGTGGACGTTGGAGCTTGATGTTGCAGTATCAGCTGCAACAGATTTGGCAAAGGACCCGGTGATGTATAGCTGAAAACACTCAGGGCTCAGTTGTGGCTTTTTGCTAGAGCCTTACTTACAAATGACTAATAAGCAGGGCTCTTTTTTGGCACTTTTACTGTAACGCCAGAGATCTCTTGCCATTTATAAGCTCATGTTGGAAGAAGAGCCTTGTGTTTTATTTCTCCTGTAGTTAATTTTGCAGATAAGGCCAGTGAGTGGAAAGTCCCTGAAGTGGAATGTTATTAGCAGATTTTTTTTCTTTGAGAAAAAGAATAGTATATAATCCTTTGTTTTCTTTTCGGCCTAAACCTGAGGTTTTGTTTCACTGCTTGGTCCTGTAGATCATGTTCAGCAAGAAGATGTGCCTGGAGCACGACGAGAAGCTGATATCGTACCTCTCCATGCTCCGAGATATTGAGATGCGAATCAAACGGGTGCAGCCAGCAGAGCAGAATTTGGCAGCCCTGCACGAGCTGCTGCAGCAGGCGGAGGTGAGCGGGGCTGGGCCAGGCTTGGCTGGCCTTGGGCAGGACAGGGCTCCTCCCTCCTCTCCCCAGCATCATGCATAGCCCTGGCACCTCCTCCTGCTTCTGGGAGCCAGCCGGTGAGGTTAGTCTCGGGTTTAAGAGGCATTTAGATGCAAACCCTGTCCCTCCCTGCTCTGGCACTGCCTCTGGCTCACCTTCTCCTCCCAGCTTAGACAATAACCTAAGCATGGCTGAAATTAATTTTACAGCCTGGAGAAAGGCAGGCGAGTGCTGGCAGCCGAGCGGGGCTGGAGGATGGTAATGAATCTTTCTTAAGAGATAGACGTGGTGTTCGGAGCTGGGTCTCCAAAACCTTTCCTCAGTTTTGGCAGTGGGAAGATGAAGTCACCATACCTTAGACATAACGCTGCTGTCTTGCCTCAGGCCCTGGGCGCTGAGCTGCAGGAGCTGAGCTTCTCAGTAAATCAGGAGTTGGACTCTGTGAAGTGGATTGTGGCCAACCCCCCTGAAGAAGTTCCTGAGCAATTACTGAAGGCTTTGGAGAAGGACGCCAAGAACCTCCAGAAGTCTCTGAGCTCTGCAAGTGATGTCCTGGAGTCCCGGCTGCAAAACCTTCGTGGGGCAGCAGAAACCAAAAAGGTAGAGCTGGCAACTGTCCCCGCTGCCTGCTGCCCCCCGAGCATCCCACCGCTCCTGCCCCGGAGCCATCTGCTCCTTCTTTAAACGATGCATTTCTGGTTTTAAGGCTAAAATCCTGGCCCATCACGAGACTCTCCAGGGCAAACTCCAGGAGCTGCTGAGCTGGGTCTCTGGCACTGCAGAGTCGCTGGACGGCAGCGATTCCTACCACGCAACTGATGCGAACAGCTTGAGTCGCTGCCTCCAGCACTACAAGGTAACCATGGCAATGGCCCTAATCCTCCTGGCTGGTGAAGTTGCTGTCCCTCTGTGCAGAGGAGAAGCTTTTAATCCTGCTTCCCTCCTGGAGCCCATCAAGGGTTTGCCCTTATCCTTTGTGCAGGAGGAGCAACAGGATTGTGTTTGCTCCAAAATCATTTGTTTCCACAATACGCAAATCATCTGCTTTGTCCATTTGGGGACCACACTCCAATGCAGGTGTGTGGTGGAGGCTGAGGAACTGGGAGGGATTCCCATCAGGCTGTCGAGGAGCGAGCTGCTTCCTCCGTGGGGGCTCTGAGAGCCCCCTCCATCACATCTGCCCCGGTCTCCATTGACTGTACAAGGAGCCCAGGCTCCCCTCCACATTTATTCATCTTTTACAGAATCATAGAATTGTTCAGGTTGGAAAAGACCTTTAAGATCATCAAGTCCAACCATTAACTTTAGTGATAGCTTTCAAGATTTGGCCAGTTCAGCATCTCCTGTTTGCTGGTAGCACTTTGGCGTTGAAGTAAGGAGATGGAAGGCTTTGAGAGCCGATGATGGCACACAGAGTCATCGTGGGCTGGATGGGGCTTCTGACAGCTCCAGGTCTGGGTCATCTTCAGAGCCAAGGGCAGCCCCGGTCCACAGTCCAAGCAACCTCTTGGCGAGGTGCTGGAGGCCCGGTGCAGAGGCACGTTGGAAAATTGCTGTGGTGAGATGCCGTCACCTCGATGCTGAGTGGGCTTTTGGGAGCATTTGGGGTTTCTGGAATATATTGTTCTGGTGATGAAGCACATTTTTGGGTGCTTACTGCTGCCTCCCCGAGTGTCTCATCTGAAGCTGGCGGCGCAGGAGAGCGCTGGTTGCAGAGTCGTTTTGCCTGACAGGTCTTTTCTCTCCCGTTCAGGAGCTAAAAGAGCCCCTCGCTGACACCAAGTCTCAGCTTGATGCCACCGCTTTCGACATCCAGTTCCTTATCTCAGAGCACGCCCAGGACTTGACCCCTCAGCAGAGCAGGCAGCTGCTGAGGCTGCTCAATGAGCTGCAGAAGGCTTTTCGGGACCTGTCGGAGCATGTGACGGCGCGGGTGGAGGTCCTGCAGGTCTGTCTCCAGCAAGTGGAGCAGACGGATCAGGTGAAGGTTGTGAGACGTCTCCTTCCTGCCTGCAGTTTGCTCGCTGAAGCGCTTCCCAGCCACAAGAACGTGCGCTGAGCCACCTCGTATTTGGGATTTCGTGTGCATGCTACTCACACACAGTTTATGACTTCTCATTACACATCATGAGCTTCCTCTAAAGTCTTTCTTCTTCCTACCATGTAACTCCCAGGCCAAAAGTCACTTTCTTCCCAAACGATGGAGCCCTGCCGAGGTCTGGGTAGCACAGCCAGGCGGTTCTCTGCTAGGCATCGAGCTGGGTGGAATAAACCCCGGTCTCTGGTAACCCCACCAGAAAATCCCCGTGCAGAGGGGCCACCGCAGACACCTGGCAGTTTTAATGTCTTATTTCTGCTGCACAAGTCAGGTATTGCTGTCCCAGAGAAAGAGCTGATGCTGGATCAAGGCAGTGGCAAAAGCCGGTCCTCAGGTCTCTGCTGCATCGTTGCAGCACCCGTCACTGCATGGATCTCCTTGTCCAAGACAGGATTAATGTGGTTTTTATTAACAGTTGCTTTCTGTAACTCTTGCCTGTCCTCTCTGGAGTGTGTGTGTATATTAACCAATTTGCTTTGCTTTTTCAGATTGAGCGTGCGCCCATCCTAACCCAGGAAGAACTCGCTTTGCAGCTGAAGAGCTCTTAAGAAGGCTCTTTCAATTTGCTTCTGTTGTCTATCTTATGACTGGGAGAAACAAGCACAGTGTTTTGCACAAGTTTGTCCATCACCTTGCTGAAATGCCCAGTGAAACTCAAAAACCTTTATCTCCCCTGGGAAAGGGGAACAGGAACGTTGCAGGGACTCTCAGGTCACATCATGCTCAATTGCTCAAACAGGCGCTTCTGTATCGTGCTCTGGCAGCAAAACTGAGGAGCTGGATCAGCTACAGAAACGCTTTCCCTCTCCCGGGCTCCCTCTCCCAACCCCAGGATCAAAAAAAAAACCAGCCTACTTAGGTTGTTTGGGGCTCCGCGGTGGTGCTACCTGACCTCAGGTTGTTGTTCCCTCTCGTTAGATGAGTTTCTGCTGCTGTTTTAAGGTTTGTAAGGTTGAATGGAAAAGGCGCAGAAGCTTCTGGTTGAGCTCTCCCAGGAGAGGAGTGCCTGACCTGCAGCGTAGCTCCACTCCGAGCTGAACGGGCTTCTCAAAGAGCAGATGGAGAGGAACCTGCTCCAACGGTGGCAAACGTGCAGTGAGCAGCTCCTGCTCGGCAGGGACTCGGCACCTCGGCCCCGTTCCTGCCGCCCGTGAGCCTGAGAGGGAGAGGGAGCACGTGGAGAGCTGCGAAAGCTCTTTTCTGTGCTGCATCCTCATCTTCAGGAGATGCTCCAGCTGTAACCTCTCGCCTTGCCTTTCAGCCATGTGCGTGACCGGAGGTGCAGCACAGGTCCTAACTGTCCCCTGTCCCCTTCCCTCTGCCCGCAGACGCTGCAGGAGCAGCAGGCAGCCCGGGCGCAGAGCCTGGCTGAGCTGAGCCGCTGGCTGCACCAAGCCGAGGGCACGCCTGCGGGG